CAAGAGCTCAAAAATGGACGAAAAGCCCCCCACACAACCAGCAGCCACCCGGAGCCTTCCGACTCAAGACATAAAGCAGTGGGTACCAAGGCGACTGCAGGACGACTCGATGCCATTCAGCCGCACGATGACCCGTCCCAGTAACTGACAGGCCATGGCGGTGTGGGCTATCTGATCTTGGGTGACGTTGGGCTTCGAACTCTACCACTCTAGGCTCAGATGCGGTTAGCGAAACCTGAGTTTCAGCACGGCCTTACAGTATGTCCATTGGCCACGCATGACGAAGTGCATTGTCCTTATGATTCCCTGCCCTGGATACCGTTGGCTCAACCATCTCAGGCGGGCGCAAGGGCTTTGCGAAGTGCGACAATCAATTCGCTTTGCAGTTCAGAGTTAGCTTGCTTTCGCATCAGCATTTCCCGCGTATCCAACATTTTCCCCAGCGTGAGGCCGACAGCCATATACGGCAAGATGTCGGACAACTGACGCACGATTCGACAGGTCTTGACATCTGAAAGTCTTTCAAGGCCACAAGGCCACCCACACTGCCTCGTCTAGTCCTCTTTCTTGGGCAGTCCTGCGGGCCGTAAGGTTTGGGCTTCTAGGCATTCAGGCGTGATTCTTCACCGACTGTCGTGCTTGGAGTCAGAGTGAGGAACGCCCTTGTGTGCCGAGTGCCGCTTCAACCTCCTTGTCCTGCTGGATGCTGACAGAGGGCATGTCCACCCGCTTCAAGACTCTGGAACAATCCCGGAAGAATCGAGCTTTCCTGAAATGCTGCGAATGGACCTGCACAGCTGCCCTACGGGAGACTTCCTGCTGGGCAATGACCCTGCAGGATCGTTGACACCCAGACGGGGCCTGGTGTAATGAAGGAGCTCCGGCGGCAAGGACGGAGCCTGCTAGGGACGGCTCTGCAATGGATCGGATGCTTCCACCCCTTCTTTACTCTTGTCACTAGCACCACGTGCATCAACTCTCAACGATGACAACACTCTAGGCAGAAGGGTGGCTTTGCCACTCACCACTCTATAGCTTGCTAAACTGCGGCAACGGTGCGAGACGGCAAGAAAAGACCTTCTGCCACTGTGACCTTAAAACACCCGTCAAGCTCTGAAGAACTGAAAGCGCCTCACACTTCAACCGCCGTCCCTGCAGGGAAGCAGCGGGCCGAAGAGGGCAGGGCAGGTCCTGTGCGACTTCAAACATCTTCGAACTTCTGAGAGGACAAAAGCACAACTGCAGCGAACTGTCCTGGATGGTTCCGTTGGACATGGCCACGCGAATGAAGATCTCATGACGCATAGGATCGGCGTCGAAACCGTAGCCGCCTCGGCCAAATCTGTCCGCAGGCCGAGTTCGACGATATCACCACTGAGAGACTGAGTCGCTGATTGGGTTCTTGTACCACTCTGACTCCTGCCAACTGGCTTTGTCTTTGCCCTAGTCCGGCAACCCAACAACACGTAGCACAAAGTTCCAAATGCACTCCACTGAGAAGCTCAAATCTTTACAATCTGAGTATTCTGGGCCCGACCTCTCCCATGGACCCAGAGGTAAGTAAGGGCTGAGGACTTTCGCTTCAAGCACTGGCTCCAAAGGTCATGAGCACCTGTGGGCTCCCTGCTCACGTCCAGCGTCACCCCACCGTGCAGGCTGCCGTGCTTGGGAGTCACCTCCAGCCGAGACTCACTGCGACTGCTGCTACTCAGAGACGACTGCTTTCCTCTACGAGGGGGGAGAATGCAAGCGCAGCCTCCGAAACTGCGAAGCTGTCGTCAATGGAGGTGCCCCTGGCATGGCCAGCTGCTGCGAGTCGCAATCGGAAGCCGAAATCCGAAGCCCGATTCCAAATACATGCCGGGAGCCACGGTAGAAGCACCGCATGTCCAGCTCCCAGGGCCCAAAGCCTCAACTGCTGAGAGTTTTGAGGTCCTGAGTAACGCCTGTATGCCACCAAAACCCCATGCGCCCCAACATCATGCAGCGCTGGATCGCAAGATGGCAGCCGCAGCCCAAGGACAGCAAAGCCAACAAAAGACGATGCCCAATCCTCAACGGGGCTCTAGCCTAGAACCAATCTTAAGAGACCTGAGGGTTCGAGGATCGGCTCTGCGGCCTCGGAATATACGGAAACGAGCCTTTGCTGAGGTTTCAACTCAATCTGCGCAGCCGTTCCCGCCACTGGGGCAGGTTGCCTCCTCTGTCGTACTCGACATTGTGGCGTCACGTACATGTAACTTCAACCTATCGGCTCAAGTTGAACATGGATAAACTTGAGATGTTATGAATAATAAGGCAAGGCATGGTCAGCGTCACTTCAAGGCAGAGAGAAACGACATAATGATGCGATGAAACGTGTTGTGTAGGTGCCAACTTTCCTTCTATCATTCGGTTCGGCTGCCAATGCTGGCATGCGATATCTTCCGGCAACAAGATGAAAACATCCGACCCTGCCAATCGGTCAAGAGACCACTCCTCGACCTCCTAGATTTGACTAACTGCTATCTGCTGCAATCCAAACTACACCGGCTCTTGATCTTGTGCGCAACATAGTTGCATCCTTGCGAGGAAGCAGGTCAAGGACATGGATGAAGAAGCCTGCACACGGATAGACAGCTTTGCAGCTTCGCGGTCGCCCGACGAATCGGCTTCATGCCTTTCTCTTTGTTGCTGGCGCGCCTCGATCCGGCAGCGCTGGCCAGCCACGCGAACTACCTCAGCACAGCATCTACCCTTTACATGAGTGGCTCTCTGTAAATTCTGACCGTCAACTATTGGATCCCTAATTTGCCTTGAGAACCTCTATCTCGGCAGACCGCGAACCCCTGCATCCGTCTACTGCATGAGAAGTGCATGGAAGGCAAAGCAAAGCAACCCTGCTGACTTGAACAGAGAAATGTCACCAAATGCAGGCCGGATGCAATGTCCTTCGCTGCTGGCGGGGCTCCTCCCAACAAACCTGGACATCGTATTTGTTAAGTAAGGTCTACGAGTTTCCACGTTGATCTACGAGAAGCGAGATTCGGCTTCAGACATGTGGCCGCTGCAAACATGATTGCAACCCCCACAAGAGCAAGAAGCATTAGGCCAATCAGTAACGGAAAAGTCCGTCCACGGAAGGGATCTTAAGCCACGCCACTTCAAAAGTCAGGAGTTGCAGCGGTGGCGAAGCCCGGCATGTGGCAGACTCTTCGAGAATGCAAGAAACGCTGAGCTTGCTGAGATTGGAGCGTGCAGCGGCAGGAAAGCCCCGCCCCGAGAGGTGAAGGAAGCCGCCTCCCGAGAGTTCACTCCTTTTGAAACCCAGAGTTGCACAGTCGGGGACCCCCGGGGCCGCGACTGGTCGCTGCAGAGAGCCGCGAGGGGGTCACCGCGTCGACCAACGGCGTCAGGGACCGAGAGTACGTGAAATTCCAGTCTGTGGCCTGGCGAATGTGGAGATTCGCCGCGCAAGAGCGATGCACAAGGAGGTGCATGGGGGAAGTAAACACAGGCATCAACAGTGTCCAATCACCAATCACCTCTGAATGCCTTCTCCCGGGAAAAATGTTGGCCTCGCAATCAGACTTTGGCATCGGTCCATATCTGCAGCACCCGATTAATCAAACACGTTGGCAGCGCATATCCGGCCACGGACACTGACAGTACCTGGACGGCGGCAGGCAGGATTCTTGCCTTGAACCACACAGATTAGGAGCGAGGGAGAGAAAAACAAAGCTAGTAATGAGACAGATCGACAGATGAAGATCAAAATCGGCAACAGACTGAGTGAGAAAGGCTGAAAGAACACAAAGTCACAAAGCAAGAGTCGGAGCCACTGTGAGTGTAAGACAAAGGGGAGAACACAAAGAGAGAGCGAGAGACGCAAGCACATACACCCTTGTGTCCGGATGTAGAGGGAGAGAGAGACAGTGTGTTTGCATATACATGTTCTTCTAGTATCAATGCGTATGTGTGCGTATAAAGGTCTCTCTTATAATATACTAGATTATACTATATTATACTATATTATACTATATTATACTATATTATACTATATTATACTATATTATACTATATTATACTATATTATACTATATTATACTATATTATACTATACTATAAGAAATAATATTATACTATATTATATTATAATGTATTATGTTATATGTTATACTAGATTAGATAAGATGGTATTAGATTATATTAGATGATATTAGATTATATTTTGATTGTTTTTTGGTATATTTTATTTTATTCCTTTTTCTATTTATATATATATATACATGTATACATATATGTTATATTATATAATATATTATGTATGTTAGATTAGATTATGTTTCATTAAAATATATTATATTCTGTTATATTATATTATATTATATTCTGTTATATTATATAATATTATATTATATTATATGGTATTATATGATATTCTATTCTATTCTATTCTATTTGTTCTATTAGAGAATATAATATAATACAAGATAATATAATATCATGTAATATAATAAATTACATATTACTATACTATATGGTATTATATGATATTATATTATACGATATTAAAGTATATTATATGCTAATTATGTTATATTATCGTATCACAAAGCATGGATCTACTAATCTACTATCGCAGTCACTGGCCTTGCCAGAACTCGAGGACGTGCTACCGCAACCCAACTCAACATCTTGAAGCATTAAAGCCCATTAAAGCCCCTACCCTTGAAGGCCTCCAGCAAGAAACCCTTGAGATCTTGGCCGTCTCAACACCCCCCAAGCCCTAAACAGAAAGGAAGGGTGCCCGGTCATCCACTCCAAGGCATTCTCCGAGGTGAGGGAAGATCTCACAGGCCTAGGATTCCACGAATGCCGCTAGAGACTCGGGACCCCAAATCGCTTGGGGTCTCAGGTCTGAGGTCGAGGAAGCAGGCCTATTACTCTCGCTGGTGTCGAGAAGGCACTCCGGAGCTTTAAGTCCCGAATCTCGGCCTTCAGGACACTGGGGGCCTGGCCATCGGCATGGGTTCTGCAGGCGGCACCATGCACCGGAGGACCCTCCGCCTGAGCACACGGCACGGGACGTGTCGGCTCTGGGTGTGGTCAGCGGCAACACGCAAATTGTTTTATGTGGAAAGCTTAGAATCTTGGAAGTGAATCAAGGGGTGACCTTTGTTGCCGGGCTGAGCAGGCCACCCAGGGAATTCATCCTCCGCGATCATTTCATCCTGGTTTCGGTGGCGACCAATTACTGTGCTTGAGTTTGCCATGGATTCAACAGCGAAGTCAGCCCATCAACGACTCCATGTTCAGGGGACGTGAACACTGTCACCCTGAACTCGTGCACGGCCGATGAGTCTCTCACCTCGAAGACGTCGGTGGAGACTTCGAGCAGGCTGCTGTTGCCAAACGTCAACAGCTGACACGCCTCGAAAGTGCTTCCGGGACGAGCTTGGCAGAGCTCAAGACTTGTTGTGCGTGCTGGAGCAGTGCTTCAGGAATGGCATGTTCGCTTGGAGTGTCTTGAAAAGCGTTAGGGGTTTCTCGTCGGCAGCCTCAACGGCGTCACCAAAGTTGGATTTACTTTGCAACACGATGTCACAGAATCAAAAACAAGTTCCCAGAGCTGCTGACTCGCACAGCCAACCCTCTTGGTCCAACTTCGACAGTGAGCAGCATAGTGGCCTCTGGCCCCTGCAGGCCAGATCCGACAATCACCACCACGGTTCCACCAGCCTCGGCAACTAGCAAAGCCTGATTCTCCTCCTCCGCAGCTATGCAGAATTCCTCTTCGCGGTCTCTGATTGCGGTCGTTTGCAAGGGCGACTGCGGGATCTGAAAGGGTCCCGAAAGCAAAAGAACTCGACTCCGTGCCCCGCCACACTGCCGCCCCCATCTCCGGGAGCGGGGCCCAGCTTCCCATGGACGGCTGCACCTCGGGGCTGCGGGGCTTCGAAAACGCTTCATTCGCCTTGGGTTCAGATTGGACCCAGCGCTTCCGAACTCTTCATGGGCGGTGCTTGAGACGGACGTTTAGTCGTGTCGGAGCACCAGGTACCACGTTTGCAACCTTTCAATCACATGTATGTGAACATCACCAGTCGAGGTGCCAGGTCGATCTGGGGAACGAAGCCGATGCTGGGCATTGGCCTTGGTGCATGTGCTGACAGGATTTCATGGAGAGGGGCGCGACTCCAACCTTGGCATCTTGCCTCCCAACCGGGCAATGCAGCCCAGGCACATTGCAATGGTGACATTCGTGTACTGTGCCTGCCCTTGGGCGTCCACAATGACCTTCGCAAAGCCACCGTATTCGAGAGCCTTAAGCCTAAGCCAGAGGCACAGCCAGCTCAAGCTCCCCAAAATCCGAAGCCCAAAACCCTAGCCTTTCGCCTTAAACCCATGGACATTACAGCGACCTTCCCGTCTGGCCTGCACTTCCTGGTCACCGGCGCGGCCATCGAGCACCGTGCACATCACGTTCCAGACTTCCGGGAAAGACTCGGTGGCTTCGAGTTTGCTTGCATCCATTATTTTTGTGATCAAATCGGCTGTGCGATACTGTGTACAACAGCAAGACTAATCAGAAAGCTTAGGCCACGCTAAGCCTCACGCTCCACAGTTCCTCTCTTCGCCGTTCTCGCCTTGTCTTACGCGTTCACTTAGGACCGAAGGCGAAGGAGAAGCGAGCGCATTTCGGAGAATTCAAAGAAGATCCCACCCAAAATCCTCCGAATCTGTGCTTGCTGGGCATCTGGTTGCAGCCGAGCAACAAGCATACGACCTCAGCAATTTCTGGCACAATGTTTGTGATTTCATAGTACCCAATGGAGGCCATGCGCAAGTCTTCATCACTGCCTCACTTTTTGATGAAAGCCCGTTTCTCCCGGAAATCAACCTTTCAGACATCAGAAAAATCTCCCGACTTTGCAGCTGCAGACGGCAAAGCAAGGTTTGTTGGGACACTTGCGGGAGTTGTACGCTCGGTGAGCTTAGTTTGTCTCTGTGCCCCAGACCGACATCAGACATCCCACTGAGCAGCTCATCAGTTGATGGGAGCAGCAAAGTTGGGAAAGCAACAGCACTATGCTCCAACACAGAAGAGCCAGTGCTAGCGTTACGGAGAAGGCTACACGAGGCAGACTGCCATTGTACATTGGCGATCTCTCAAATAACCGTAACAGTACAACTGTGTCATTGTCGTCATGCTCAGACCAGCATCATAGTCATATTGCTCTAATCTTCGCCAAGACCCTCTTCCACAGCGGTAGCTATCTTCAAGAAACAAACCAGCGCCAGCTTGCTTGAGCTGAGGGTGATGACAGCGGCACGAAGTGCACGAAGGGTGCTCGCTTCAGGGTTCTGTTTTGCCCTCATTCCTGGATGGCAGACTTTACATGGATTACGACTTCTTCCCAAAGCTCAGGTCAAGGCGTCAAGTTGCATCGCGACGGCCCCACGAAGATCGCAAAGGGCTCCCGACCTTCGCGCAAGGTCACGTCCCGGAGGTGGTTTCCATCCTTAGCAGCAAGGCCTTGCCCTTCGTGCTCTATGACCCTTGAGACTGCTCCACTGAACGCAACTTGAGGCATCCTGAATTACAAACCTCCCATGCACCTGCATGTTCAAACCAACTCAATCAATGCTAGTCTGGTCTCCACGCGGTCGAAGCGTAGTGAGAGCTCGGAGCCCACCTTGACAAGGGACTCAAGGTCTCCCCAAACTGCAGGTAGGTCAGCCAAAACCATGATCCCTCTCATTAATAACTCTAAGCTGGCGCACAGGGCTTCGGCCACACAGTTTGGAACTATCGTGCCGGAATCGAAGTTTAACGCCCAGTCGTTTAGACGTACTCTTGAGCAAGCGTTTTGGGCACTCTTGAGGTCACACCTGCACCACCAAGGGATCCAGGTCCATCAGGCGCGGGGTAAAATCCTGCGCACAAGCGGGGCTTCAAAGAGCTCACAACGACTGAGCAGCCATCAGCTATGTGCCAATACCATCACGAAACTGAAGCAACTGCTTCACACCTCGGAACGGCGGAAAGACACATCATCTGCAGATGCCACCACGCCGTTGCTCTCCACTACCACCTGCCAACAGCGACTTGCGGACCCTTGTGGCACGTCAGCGCAGGTTCGGGAAGCAGATTCCTAACACGTCCCCACGTCTCCTTGCGAACGGCCTCCTTGCACTTACGCTGCATGACCTTACCCCTTGCAAGCCCACAGGCCTTGCCTGAGGCTGCAAGTTCGGAGTCCGGAACCAGTCCGCTGGTATTTCCTCCGACGAGTTTGCATCGAACGACAAGAAGCAGTGATCGTGCACTTGCAGTGGCGAGACACCATGAGCGTGTTCGGGGGATTCAGCTCGTCAGTCCTCAAAGAAGAGATCCTGGGAGCCGTTCGCGAGCGTATCGATGGACAGACGCACACCTGCAAGCTGGAAGAGAAAAAGCTGAGCCAGACTGCACACAGATGACCCAGCACCTCGATGTGACTCGCATGTGTCCACTGTTCACACATTGCTCTCAGCCTCTCCTCCCCCACTGTCTCGATGGGAATCAAAGCAGTCCCAATTGTCACTGAGTGTAGCTTCTTCTGTAGGCTTAGGCATGAGAGACCGGTCCTCTTCTTATGTGCACTTTGGCGCACCCATTATCGAGTTGTGCAGAGGGACTCTGATTCCGCCTCCCTCTCTTTCTCATGTATGAAGATCCAAACTGGCCCCAGCAAACGAACACCATATCTTTGGCTTGACCGCACGCAGACGTCGGCTTCGTCACAGCAATAAATGTTTTAAATGTGCCGCTGTCAGCTGTCATATTCTGTTACATATCCATCCGGAGGCAGTACCACCAGCCGGACGGCTCAAGAGTTCTCTGCCAACGCTCGTTGTGGAACCCCAAGCTATGAGCAACCAGCAAAGGAAGCGCATGCAACGGAGCTACCTGTTTTCCGCAGCTAGCAAAAGTGGCTGAAGGCCTCGAGAAGAGAGGCCGCGGAGTCTCACGCTGAAAGAGCAGCGATGCACAACAGAGGCTTTCACATCCCCTCTATTCTTTTGTTGCTTAAAGGTGGGAGTTGTGCAATCGCTTATCTCTCAGTCACGGGTGAAGAAAGTCACCAAAACAGGAGCAGCCAGCTTGAGGAGGCCATGCTGGTTTGCCTCTTCGAGGTAGCGAGTCTTTCGCTCCAACGCTCGCCAAACTAGCTCTCCTGAGGGGCGCTCATAACGAGCAAAAGTTGTGCGCACAGGTAGAACAGCGCTGCTAAAGCGAGGCTCTGGGGTCCGGTAGCTTCGCGCGTTGTGAGCCACGTTCACCCCAGTTGCACCATGGCTCTGCCAGCCACGAACCTCGGCAAACTTAAGCAGGAAGCCCATGAGGGGGTCGTTGCCGTCCACAGGGTCGCCCGGCAACTCCTCAGAGACAGAAGGCTTAACTGAAGGCGCTTTCTTGCCCTTGGCAACTTGCTTCACGAAGCTGGGGCTGTAGGTGATGCTCCAGGTTCCTCGGCGAAGTGTCTCACGCAGGTGGGTCACGTCCATGTACTTGGTCCCGGCGTCACAGAACATGTTGCTGGTGCTGGTCCAACGTAAAGAGGTGTTGGGTCGTTTCAACACCGAACGCAGCCAGGCCACAGTAAAGGCTAACGATTTCTGAGAGCCAAAGCTCGAAGTGTCGCTGTTCCCCTTGTCGTGCACGTCCTTGGCGTCCACAACCACCGTAAGGGGCACGCTGTTCAGGCTGCGGTCGATGTCCTGCTTGGTACCCAAAGGACGCCCAAGAGCTGAAGCCACAAAGCCACGACACAAGACGCCCACGTCAAAGGCTTCTTCGGCGCCGAGCGTTTCGGCCGCATACGAACTGCGACAGACTCGGGCCAATCGATGACTCCGAGTGTCCAGGATGTTGAACTTTCCAGGCCTCCCAGCTAGCAAGTTGGCGTCGGCCCAGAGCACAAAGTAACAGGACTGGGAGTACACCTTGTCAAGCGGTGCAGCCTCCCCTGCACCAGCCTGGGTGACATTGCCGAGGGAGCTGTCGGTCACCACCACCAAGCCGCCCGAGTTCAAGTCGATGGGCTGAAAAACCATCTGGTACGTAGGCTCCTGCAGAAACTCTGCCAAAAGAGCGTTCGCTCGGAGGATGGTGCCGACAGTTGGCTGTTCACCTTGCAAAGCCGAGACCGGAAACTGAAGGTCGAACCTGAGCTGGGCCACCAACCACTGAAGACTGCCCAGAAGCGCCCTCAAGCGGCGACGTTCGTCAGGAAGAAGCGGTGCCGTCAAGGAGGCCTTGCGTTGGCGAGACAGCGGGATCTCCTTCAAGTTCCGGTGGTAGCTCTCCATGGACAACGTCACAGAGCCGTCCGCTCGCCTCTGAAAACGCTTGCCACACCAGGTAAAGTCGTCGACCTGCACCTCGCGGAAGCCGAGCTCAGACCCGACATCAAGGAGCGAAGCCTCGGCCACGTGGTCGCCCCCAAACAGCAAGTCGTCGACGTGGCTGACGATCATGCCTCGCAGCTCCTCTCGCTCGGTGCTGTCCCAAAGAAACCACGAAGCTTGGTCCAAGGGGCTGCGTGTCCAGCCTCTGCTTTCCAACGACCGGCTCAAGCGAAGCCACCATTCACGAGGAGCGTCAGCCAGGCCAAAGATGCCTTTACACACCCGGGCCAAACAACCTTCAGGGATCGGAATCTCAGGTCCCACGCGCGGGTTGGTCTTCGTAATATAAAGCTCTCGGGAAACATAAGGGTCTCCCTTCAGGAAAGCAGACTTGACGTCGGCCGACAGCATCTTCCACGCCTTGCCCTTGCTGGCAATGATGCAGAGGAGCAGGTGCTGGGTCAAACGCGCTCCCGTCGGCGCATCCCGCCGGACTTCGCCATTGAGGTTGGCTCGGTCCTTGAACCCTGGCACTACAAGACGTGCCGAAGCATCCACAGGCATGGGGTTGGACTCCGAGCGAAGACCATCCGCCTTGTCCGTCAGGACAAATCTCGGCACGAGAATCCTCCAACTCTCCGCGAGCGGCCAGCTGCTTGCGAATCGCCGCCGACTCCTTGACGTTGAGGACCTGCACCGCCTCGTTGTCAACGTAGGCTTGCCAGCCTTTCTCAGCCGCCTTGTGCCAAAGTTTGCGCTCCTCCGCTGTCATGTGACCCCACTGGTGCTCCTTACGGGCCGTCGCCGCTGAAACCTCGTGGTCCTCGGGAAGGCCGCTGGGCAAAGGAACCCCAAGGGACTGCACCGCCTCAAGCTGAGACCTGGAAGGCAACGACCAACGTCCATCCCAGGTGCCATGGTCACGCTCCTCCTCCAGGTTTACCCTTGAAGACAATCTGTCCTGCTCCACTTGCGCCTGCACTCGAAGCAAAGGGTGCACCTGACCGGCCGGAAGCGACAAATTGGAAAGCTGCTCCATAGTCAAAGTCATGGCCTCAAACGCCCCACGGGTTGTAGTAGATGACGTGCCTGCTAAAACGTCAGAAGGACCCCCAGGAGATTCGCTAGAAGGTCGCGGTACTGCTGCTTCAGAAACTACAGAAGGACCCCCAGGAGATTCGCTAGAAGGTCGTGGTACTGCTGCTTCCGGAAAACCAGAGGGACGCCCAGGAGATTCGTTAGAAGGTCGTGGTGGTACTGCTGTTTCCGAGGCGTCTCCAACGGCACCTTGCACATCAGACATGGGGTGGCTCCCCCGCCTCGCGACATCAGCGCGATCCTCCAGACCTGCCTCCGAGCTAGTACGGCGGCGCATGCCTCGTTCCATAGCATCTCGGAGTTCAGCTTGAAAATCCCCCGGCTGACCGCGGCTAAGCGCACGAGCTCCAAGTTGAACTGCCAGGGGCTGACCTTGAGCCCTCTGCAACGCATGCTGCAACAAAGGCCTTTGAAGCAAATTCCCAACTGGAGTTCCAGGAGCTGCCGTCGAAGGGCTCGAAGTCGAAGCCGACGGTGGCAAAGGAGAGGGCAGCCGTTCATCTAGCGCCGCGTTCCCCAAAACCACGGGGACAACTTCCTCCTCTACAGGCTCGCCCTCAGGTACCGAAGGTAAGGCAGAGCCACCACGAGCATTCGAGGTATCCTCCACCAGTTCACGAATAGCCTCCTCCCACGTGCCGGCCGCGAGCTGTTCCAAGGAAGAAGCCGGCCGCACATGTTCCAGAGCACACTTCGTCACCTGGCCTTTGTAGGAGAGGAAGGCATTAGTCGGAAAATTCGTCTCCCCCGAAGCCTCCAAGGCAATGAGCACAGCCGGCCCGTGCCAACGACGAAGTTCAAGCCGCCGGCGCCGCGAGGATGTCGAAACACGCGGGTCCCCTCGTCGAGTAAGCTTCTGAGCCCGCCAAAAGTAGACAACATCCCCCGGAGAAGGCGGCTGAGTGGAAGTAGGTTCTCGGCTCCGGGCCAGCTCTGCCTTGCGAATGCTCTGGCTGTAGTGCAACCTCACCATGGCAATGCGAGCAGATTCGCGCAAGGCAAGCCGTTCCATTAGATTGGGGTCGGAGTCGATCAGGCCGTGCTGCGCAAGGTGGCCGGCAAAGTTGTTCAGCACCGACCCGTGTCCAGAGGGCTGGCGTCCCGTGACACACTGCAAGGGAGAGACGCCCTCGGCCGTTGGGTCAGCATTGTAAGCCGCAACCGCCTCGGCGATGGCGCGGCGCATGCCCCGTTCTCCAATCACCACCTTGTCGGTCACGACAGCCGCCAACAGAGCCTTGAGCAGCCCACCGCTGCGTTCAGCCAGGCCATTCTGCCAGGGGGCCTGCACGGCGGCGTGCCACAATAGCACGCTATGTGCCGAACACCAGTCTTGAAACTCGGCCGCCACAAACTCACGCCCCTGGTCCGCTATCATCTGCCGAGGCGTTCCCAGCAACGGCACCCAAGAGGTCATCAAGAAGTCGATCACGGAGGCCGCGCTCTTATCCGGAAGGAGGGCCGCCTGCTGAAACTTTGAAACCGCATCGGTGACATGAGCAATCACATAAGTGCGGCCCACAGCGTCCTCGGCCACCAGCAAATCCACATGGGCCTGCTCACCAACAGAGCGCGGTGCCGGAAGTCCTGCCACTCGACGTGCTCGAGGCGCACGCCGCTCAGCACAAACATCGCACTTCAGCTCCCGAGCGGCCTGAACAGCAGCCGGAGGAGCGCCCGAAAGCAAGAGCGCACGGGCCAGCCTCTTGGGCGGCTTGTGGCCAGTCGCCTCGTGAACTCGCTTCACCGCCGCTCGAATGGCCGGGGTGATCTCGCCCTTGAACTCCTCCACGGGTTCCTCGTCGGTGTCGGGGTGGTCCTCGATCGCAAAGTCCTGGTCGCCCTCGTCGACGGCCAGGGCCTCGTGGTAGAAGTCGACCGCACCCGGCACGGCCGTCATCTGATAGCACTCTTGCCCAGAGGCGCGGCTACTCAAACATTGCGTCTCATAGTCAAACTCCATCTCAAAGCCGACCACCAGGGCACGGCTGAGTCCAACACGGGTCTCCAAGCAAGCCTTGGCCACATCTTTCCGAAGCAAATAGCTGACAACAGCCTGGCTCGAAGTAAGGATCCGGTAGGCACCCACAGTCACAAAGTGCAAACCCAGGCCGTGCTTCAAACGTCTCATTGCAGGGGCCCGCCAGGCAGCCGAAGCCAAAGGAAGGCGAAAAACGAAGTGTCTCCCCCCCCTAACTTGTTCTCTGGCAAGGCGGGCCGCGAAGTTCAACAACAGCAGGGCCTCGGTGCGCTGCTGTCGGAGGTCGTCCGGGTGCTGCCGAAGCCGAGCTCGAGGCAGCCAAGAGCGGTCGGGCACAGTGAGAACCACGAAGTAGGGACGCTCGGCCAGCATGTTGTCCAACACGCGCCGACGATCCTGGCGCAAAGTCAGGTCGAACTCGCTGCCGTGCAACCAAGGGCCCGCTATGGTGTGGCCTCGAACCAAGGCCTGCCGACTCACCACGTCCAAGGGGGCAACCGCTTCGGCAGCCAGCAAGGGCACCTCAAAAACGAAAGTTTCGTTGAGAGCTCGGCGGCAGCCCGCGAAGTACTCGGCTGTCAAGGCATGCCGCACCTGGCCCGGCGTACAGGAAATAAGCAACTGTTCCCGCCGGTGCCGTGCCCAAGCTTGCGTGATCAGCTGGCGTTGCCCTGGCTTGAGCTTGTTCACAACGGCTCCTGTAGGCAACCCAGCTGCTCCCGACGAGGGTCCGTCATCCGGTTGGCGTTCTCGTTCTCCTCGGGCTCCAGCGGGTGCACGTTGGCCCAGTCCGGGTCGCCCTCCATCTCGGTGTCGGCCATCGGCGGGGCGTTCTGCATCTGCATCACGTGCTGGAGCACCTGGTTGAGCATGGTTTGTTGCTGGGCGCTGGCGGCGGCCAGCATCTCCTGATATCGGTGGTCCATGGCCTCCATGTACGACGTGAAGACACTCATGCTCACGCCAGGGTCTTCCCCGGGCATGGGTCCCGAAGTCTGCAAGGAAACCGGGGCCACCGATGGCAAAGGCAAGTTGGTCGAGGTAGGCGGCGTGGGTCTCGACGAAGGGCGCAAGAAGCAACTCGTAGAAGCGGAGGAGGGTGCCGCTGCCGGCTTTGAAGCAGCTTTCTCGTCGACCTTGAGCAGCCCAATCATCGGGCGAATCTTGGCCTTGAGGTCGTCCACCTTGTCCTTCTCGCCCACGGTCACGTTGAGAAGCGAAGCCAGGCGCAGCAAATCCGCCTTCAAAGTCGGCAGGCCGCCGCGTGGGCCTATCAAAGACCGAGCCACCTTGAGTCGGTCTGCTTCCTTGGACGCCTCCTCCGCCGCTTCCTTCACCATCGCCGCCCTGACTCGAGCCGCCCGGCCCCGCGTTGAAGTCACAGCCAACATGCCTTGCAGGAACGGGTCCTCCAGGAAGGCAAAGGGCAGCCCGAAGCGGCCGCGAAACCATGTCATCGATGCCAGGGTGCTCGCCGTCCAAAGTCCACGGCCCAGCCAGCGGCGAGGATAGGCCCCATGCTGACACATTGTCTCGGCCTGGCTTTTCCACATAGCCACCGAAGAGACCGAGGGCCAAGGAAACGGTAAGTAGCGCAAGTCGGGCCGCTTTACCAAAGCCAAGTGCAGCCCCTCTTTGGCCCAGGCCCAACGCACTTGCACTCGCATGATCATCCTGCGCCAACGGCTGGCAACTCGCAGCTCGAGGGCCTCGTCGTCGACGGCGTCGGGGTAGCCATGCCCACCGAAGCCAGGAGCTCGAGAAGGCCGAGCGCCGAAAGCCAGTGCCGCCGCCATCCTTGGGTCGAACCGCCACAGAGGAGGAGGCAACAGGGGCAATCGCAGGCACAACTTCTGTGCACATCCTTTGGGCCGTGGTCAACAGAGTCGCATTGTACTCAAAAGCGATCTGCCCCAAGGTCAGGCTGGCTTCGGTCATGTTATGGCTATGCTCTTCACTGCCAGGAGCTGCATGCGAAACACCTCTCAACAACTGCTGGGCCCACTGCTTGCAACCAATCACTGTCTCCAGAACCCCATCTGGCCCAAGCTTGCGCCACCTTGTTTTCGGCACGTGCGGCCACGACTCGGGGATCAAAGGCAGCGCCAGGTGGCCAGCCGACAGTTGGAGCAGCCGGGCCGTCTTGGCACCAAAGGCTCGACAAGAAAGCGTGCGCTCCGAGAAATCTAAGATGCCGCCAACAGCGTCGAGCACATCGCGCCCGATAAGCAGGCCTAAGGTGGCCACCGGCACCGAGGAAACCCACAGCAAAACCAGCTCGCCCGCCATCATAATAGGCAACCGCCAGCGCAACGTAGAGGGCAAAATGCCGCCGTTGCCAAACTTGAACTGCTCAGTCTCCGGCTCGGTGGTCACAAGGGCCTGCACCTCGACCGGGGCCTCGCGCAGAAGCTCAACGAAATTCTTGATCCACGGCTCCCCGGCACAGGTCCTATTGCAAGCACTGTCCAGTGCACCCACAACGGCCTTGTCAGCAGACGGTCCACGGGCAGCCGTTGTCGCGTGCACCTCCGCCGCGCGGGCCGATGACAAATCCAAGGCACGCTTCAAAGCCGGAGGGGAGCACGAAGCCGAAATCATGAGCACCTCCTGGGTCTCATTCGCCTCGGTCTGGATCATCTCGTGCTCGGGGGCAGCCTCGGCGAGCTTCACATGTTTCACCGGGCCAGCTTTCGGCCTCGTGCGGCCCAATCCTTGGCCGGGTTTCGCGCAGGCATCGTCTCCGGCCCAGTGCCCAGGAAGGCCGCAGTCAAAGCAGACGTGTTTTCCACTGGCCTTCTTGGCAGCGATCGCTGCCGAGCCTTTTCCGCGCCCTTTGGGCGCGCCGCCACCAGAAGGAGGTCCACGAAAGCCGCGGTCTTTTCGCATCTCGGCCAATTTCACCCTGGCCTCTCGCATAGAAACCAGAGCTTCAGCGCTTGCTTCTATTCCCTGCTCCAAGGACTCGAGGTGGAGCGGGTCAATGCCTTCCTCCTCTGCCTCGGCAATCTCCTCCGCCAGGTTCTGCACCTCAGTCTGCAGCACTTCTTCCAAGGAGGCCGGCTCGTCAATCTCAGGCTCGTCCGCGACTTCCGGCTCGGCGTGCTCGGTCTCAGGCTCGCCCTCGAAGTCCACCTGCTCGGCCACTTGCGCCTGTCGAAAAGGCGGGCGCCGGGCAGCACTGTACGAAGAAGACGGCGCCGAAGACAGCAAGGAAGACCTCCGGGAAGGTGCCGCCGACGGAGCCGAGGTCGAGGCCGAAGACGCAGGAGCCCCAGACGGCACGCCAAACATCCGGCGCACAGTCAGCCGGCCCGGGGGGCCGCGATCCATTTTGCCGTAAAGCGGGTCCTGCAGGTGAAGGTCACGAAAGAGGCGAAGACACTCGCTCTCTATAGTGCTGTAGCCTTCTGCTCCTTGAAGAGCTGTTTCAAGAAGTTGGCGCCTCAAAGCATCCAGGCCCAGCTTCTCCTTGAAAAACCAACCAACCTCAGCATCGGGAAGGCGAACGCCTTCACCCTTCAGGTCACTCACCGCCATCCGAAACCTCGAAGCGAAGTCTGCAACCCTTTCGGCCGGCTTGCGAGCCAGGTGCAAATAAAATTGGGTACGAAGTTCCCCGCGACGATCAAGCACCGACTGGCCGTTCAGAGATTCCAATGCAGACAAAAGCTTGTTCAGACCTGAAAGAGGGTCCTCGGGCGTCAGCACCACCATTTCCCCTGTATCCGGGTCGGTGGCGCTTTCTTCGCGTTGATATTCAAGTTCTTCGGGAAGAAATTCTTCCCCTCGACGCCTGACGGTGCCGCTCTGGCGTAAAAGCCAGCGAGCGGCCAAGTTATACTTCTTCGTGCTTTCCAGATCCAAGGCACTCACCCACCAGGTCATCTCTCGACGGAAGGCCCGCCAAGTCAAGGGCGAACCGTCCCAGGTGGGGCACTTCGCCCAGGCCCCAGAGAAAGAATCCTCCTGCTTCTCCGCCATCTCGGCTTCAGCCAGCCAAAGGAAAATAAATTCCAAGCCTTCTGCTTCAGAAGGCGGCCGTGCAAGGTGACACACCGACCAGCACCCCAGCACACACACTCAAGCTCTCAGCGCTGAGCGTCCAGCGAAGAGGGGCTCGAGAATCGTGTAAAGGACCGCCAGGTCGAAAGTTCGGGAGGTCGAAGGCAAAGCGGCGCAGCGGCTATGTTCGAGCTCACGCAAGCAAAGGCCACCAGAAACCAAACTCAGGCTCCGGTGCCACTGTGGAACCCCAAGCTATGAGCAACCAGCAAAGGAAGCGCATGCAACGGAGCTACCTGTTTTCCGCAGCTAGCAAAAGTGGCTGAAGGCCTCGAGAAGAGAGGCCGCGGAGTCTCACGCTGAAAGAGCAGCGATGCACAACAGAGGCTTTCACACTCGTTCTGTCAACTCACCCCAGCCTGGACCAGACAAGCGGGAGCCATCAACGTGAATCTGGGGCATGTCCTCGCCACCGCCTTCATTGCCAACGGCCATTTGGCGACATCTTAATGTGCAGAACTCTGAGAGCAACAAGCCAAATCAAGACAAGCAGGCTACTCTGGGCAGTCAAGGGCAATCGAACAGCTCTTCAGAAGGCCCGACCTGATTCCCCGGGCAGTAGGAGTCCCACTGACCACCCTTCTCTGCCCTCCTGGAGCACCTGTTCCACAAATACTCAGGTATGTCATGAGTGGGGACGAGGTGCTTTCAGCAGCAGGACAGTTGAACAAGCAAAAGGCATATACTATATACGGTATCAGGGTCAACGACACTTCCGAGAAAACGAAAGAGCGCGCGAGAGACAGAGATAGATAGATCGATGGATGACTAGATGATACATAGACAGACACATAGATGGATGGATCCATTGAGGACAGGTGAACAGAGAAGGTTGCGAGCATCTTGAAATATCTTGACGTCGGAGCCTCTGCAAAAGGCCAAATGCGAACGTCACCCAGGCCCGGAAGCATCAGAAGCTGCCGCTGGACATCTTGCCAGCCCTGGTACGAGATGGCCTGCAAGGGCAGCAGGGCTGCTGCTTTCCACCCAGAAGGACACTTGTTGTAAACGGCGAGAAGGACGCGGCAAAAGAAAGCACTTCTGCGGTGTGGCACAGGCCGTGGGAGATTCTGGCAAACCTGCCACCTCCGTCCACTGCCCTCGAAAGTGGAGCCGGAAACTGCCCTGCACCTGAGAGTGCGGGGGGAATTTCCAACAAACCAAGATGTCTGATGAACATGTTCGCTTGCACGGCTCCTGTCCTCCTGCCAAGGGGCGAGCTCGGAGGCGGACTGCAAGTGGGCGGAGTTCATGACCTTGGCTCTCCGATGCGGGAAGATGCGGGAAGATCTATTAACGGGCTTCAGCGACGAGCGGCGCCTGCCGTCCCCGCTGGCACTGTTGTTTACACGGAAGCTGGGCCATATGTGCGTGGGTCTTGTCTAATCCACGTGTTTCTTTTGGCCGGTCGAAGCATCGCTCCGCAGAAGAGCCGAGCGGCCCATCCCTCTCGGCCGGTGGCGATGACGTCGAGACCGGGCACGATGTCCAGGGCGTCCTCGGCTGTTTCATGAGCAGCAAACCGAGTCAAGGAAATGAGGGGCGCCTGTTTCGGGAAGGGGGACTTTACCCCCCCCAACATCCACAACGCAGTCTCGGAACGGCATGTGGATTCCCGTCTGCTTGCCGTGGACAGGGGAAGGTCACAAAATAGATCAACCTTGGCTGGCCGGCGAGTTCGTGGGGTTCAGTTCAGAATGCCAGCCTTTATCATCGCCGAGAAAGACGCGGTAACTAGTTTCACAGCTTAGCTCCAGCGATGCTTCCTGAGACATGTCGTCACTACCGGAATACTGACCCACAGACATTCGATTCGAGTGCAAGCGGCAAGAAAAGTCTTGCTGCAATTCAAGCAAGTTTTCAATCAGTCGGAACTCGGAGCTGCCATTGCTATTGCTGCCAGCCTCATGATGGCAGTGCCTTGCTGCTGTTGCTTCTGCCACTCGCACTGCTGTTTTGCTACGGCTGAAACAGTTCTTGCTGGCTGCTGGCAGTGTCATCGTCTTGCTTCTCGATCTTCTCGGCATGGATGCTGGCATGCCCCCGCTTGCTTCGCCCTCGCATCTTGGCCTTTCCATGCCTTCCTCGTGAGATGTACTCATCCACGCAGCCGCAAGCTTCGACATGCCCCTGCCAATTTCCTGTCACTCTGGCAGTAGCCAAGGTTCGTTTCCAAGCGCAGCGACGGAAGTTTGGCCACTTCCCTTGTCGAGGAGACAGGGGCAAAGCAAAAGCGTCGCTGGAAGGTCGGACAAACCCAATGTTGTGACATGCGATTCTCGGAGATCCAGCGTGGCCGCGGAAAGCGAAACTCCCAGTCGAGAGAGATAGACCGAGACCAAACGAGATCACAGACGTGCATTTTCTTCGGCCTGCAAGGGCACTGCAAGACGAAACTTCTTCGACCGACCTCAAAGAGCCCGCGATAGCTTGGAAATGTCCAGCATCACTCCGACAAGGACTGTAGTGACGGTAGCGAGTACTGAGTAGTGATTAAGCCTTAAACAGTACAGCAGCGGCAGCACCACCGGCAGTCCGACCACCAAAAGTCGCAGAAGGAGCTTTGCTTAGGGAATTGCTGCAGCGACTCAGCCTGTGCATCTACAGGACACGTCTTGGCACGGGGCACTGCGTTGTCTGCATCTTCCGTTCGCTCAAGAGTCGGCTCGCACTCCAGGACTCTTCCATAGAGATCCTCGACTCGATGAAGGAGGGCCAGTAACAAGACCACGTGCGTCGCATGACTTGAATCCTGCCATGTTTCGCAAAACTAAACACACAGACGCAAATCCTGAATCCGCCAAACCTCAAGCTCCACTCTTGCGGCACGGGCATCCATAGTGTCCCAAAGTGTCTGGGCGAGCTCCGCGGCAGTAGCACCCAGACGCAGCACGCCTAGGATCGTTGCTCTTGGATCTCTTGGGCCAGCAGTGTACCCGACCCCAGACCCACGGCCGATGGCATGCTTTGGTGCAATGTTTTTGCGAACCCACGATCACCTACCAGCCGCCACTGCTTTTGAAAGCATGACTCTCGGCTCCCCGTGCTATGCCAAGCTCTGTGCTGCTCTTATGCCAGGAGCACGAGCATTGTGTGACATGATGCCGGCTGCACAACAAACGACAGGGCGTGGTGGTCATGTGAAGGTCCACGCATGTGACGGGTCTTGGTGTATGAGATCCTCTGCAAGGTCGCGGACACGTTGGAGCATCATGAACGGGAATGTTCGGCGACTCGAGTCGAAAGGTCCACACACCTGAGCCGAGTCGCCCGAGACGCCCTCACGAAGGAAGTTCTGCGCGAAGCGGCGTACACGCACACGGAAGCTGCCTGGAGGCCATGAACACCAAAGCCCCATGGCTTCTCTATTTTGCATGAACGAGAATGAACTTCGAGTTCAGGCTTGGGATCTTCCCAAGGCGGATGCAAGCAGCCGAGGCCTGGCCTGTGAGGACTCGGAGGAAATTCATCCGGTGCCTGGGACAGGTCGGGTGCGGGTGAGAGCCTGTCTGTGGGGATCTGCCACGGCTACAGGCGCGCCTCCAAAACCTATCAACCCTGAAGCCTTCCCATAGCGCTGCCTCTCGCGCACCACATTCGCCGTCATGGTCAGTCTCTGCACTTCGATGAAGGACTTCCTCCTTTTGAGCTTAGTTTTCAACGGATTTTGCGGGCTGAGACAAACGTAGTCTGCAGCATGTGCAAACTTCATCCATCCAAGGACTCACACATGCCGCAGCCTCACGATCTCGGCTGGCGGCATGGACCTGGAGACAGCTGTTTCTAACTTTCTATGTGTATGTTGCAGCTTGAGCTTGGGCCAAATCAATAAAATCTCACAGAAAAAGATCCCCTCCGGAAATGCCCCCAAATGCCGTGGAGCCGCCCCTCAGCAGACTGGATGGGCATGTGGACCCGGAGGCCCACCCGGAGCCAGTCCTGGGTTCCGGGTAGGTTTGTTTCACTCAGAAAGGTGCTCAAAGTGCACACTTTATGAGAGAACTTGGGGGACCTCAAAGAAAAGCAGGCTGAACACAGAGTTCGCAGTACGAGATTCTGCTGCCACATGGTCGCGGTGGCGCACACGCATGAGCACACGGTCGCCTGGTCATTCTGGGAGTTCGGAATTGCAGGTGGGGAACCAAAGGAGTCATTAGAAGTTTCTCTTGATGCATCTCCGAGGAAGCGTACAGCTCTGGGTTGGACTTCGGGTCTTTGCAGTCTGGGGTTGGTGATTTCGGGAGCTGGATGGTTGGATGGAACTTTTGCTCAACTTCGGCGCATATGCCCACTGCCTTTCCTGCTTAACCCCTTACAGCAGCTGCGTCACCGGCGGACATATCAACTGGCTTGGAGATGGAGCATTCCGGCTCGTCCGATCCCGTGCCAGCCGCCTGATGCAGCAGCTGCCCGATTGCACCATCGCAGAACACCGGCCACACATCACAGTGACAGGTCACCCACACGAAAGATGCGAAATGCTGAACAATATAGGAACTCAAAGACACTTCATTCCAGCAGCAGTGCAAAACGAAGGAAGTTGGCGACCCCTATGCCTGGCAGCTCCCGTACCATGCCAACGGGGTATAGCGCGGCATGGCGAAGTCCACCTTTTCGCTACGGACGATGACCTGAGAACTGGCCACACTGAGGATTCACAAGGTCTGGCAATTCCTGAGAGTGTCGCCTTCATGCCAGCCATGTCGCCACAGCAGGATAATGAGAGATCTGCCTTGCGGAGTCTCAGTCCTTCTTTTTTGGACTGCTGGTTAGTGGGCCCACTGGAATCACAATGCGGCCTCGTCGTCGGCCGCCAAATAAAAGCTGTAGTTCGCCGTGTAAGGAGCCACGAAGAAGCCTGTGATCTCCTGTTCTCCATGAACACGTGGGCTACAAATTCGTTTGGGGCAGCGCTTCGTGCGGTGCTGAGCTGGACAACTAGGTATTTCTCACACTGTGTGACAAAAGACGTGCTGGATGCTTCTGCAACACAGCTTTTTCTTCAATTACACAACGTCGTGCACGATTGCAAGGAAGAGTGACACAACTGTCAGAAGATCAGACATCCGAAGGGTGAATGCTTCTGCAATGCCTTCCGACTTGCGAGACTAAACCGTGAAGGACTGAACGGAGAATAAGGGGAAGCTTCCTTTGTGCCTAATGTGGCCAGTTGGCCAAATGCTGCATGACCTGAGCTTGCTTGGTAGTGATGGATGTGATGGGCTGTTCCCAACAAAGACATGTAGCAAGTAGCTTCTTCATTCCGGGATTTGTTGGCGCGTGATCTTTTGAATAACAAGTAATAAAGGAGTCGTCCTCCGCGTAGAAGTCATGGCCTGTGTCGTCCATCAGTGGAGGTCCAGCTACCTCAGTGGAGCTGAGCAGGAGTTTAGGACAGTGGTGGGTCATGGATGTTTACAGAATGTTGACACACTTTCAAAACGTTCTTTAGGCAATACGGAGAATGAAAATCCACAAAATTGAGGGTTCTCGAGACGCTTTCAAAGACTTCAGACTTTTCGCTCCGCGCTCGCAGAACGCTTGGTGCCCGCAGGTCCCCGTCCGTGGCCCACAAACTCGCGCACAGCCTTTCTCAGCCCCAGCCCGGTGGCCCTTCCCCAGCCGCCCAGCCGCATCCCTGGCAGCCCAGCGCCCGGTTCCGGGTTTACAAATCGAGGACGCAGCATCTTGGCTTGGAAGCTTTCAGCTTCACATCTACAAAGCCACGCAATCATGAAGCGCGCGTATCAGACAACATGTCCTGCTCCGATTAGAAAGCTCACCTCAATAAACAAACCCATCCCGGCAGGGCACGTGGGCCGGAATGCCCTATAAAGGACAAGAATTCGGGGAAATTAGGAGATTCATCAGGATCCTTCAAGGACGAAGATTGAGCTTTATGATTGTATCGAAGCTTTCTCTTTCTCGCTCTCTCTCTCTCACTCTCTCTTTCTTTCCCCAGGGGTATGGGCTAGAGGGTTGCTCTCTCTCTCTCTCTCTCTCTCTCGCAGAATATATATTTTAAGGATAATCCCATCATGCGAAACCTTACGATTGCAAGAGCGAGTGTGCACTAGAACACGTGAGTTGGGTTCCTTTCCCTTTCAGAGCTTAGGCTGACGCAGCGAGTGTGTACTAGAACGCATGAATTGAGATTATTGCAAGAACTGCAACTGGCAGGGGCTGCACGAACGCAGCACTGCAGGCACGGACAGGGTTGCTGCAACTTCAGGAAAATAGGACTGCAGGGTCTGCGGACTGCTCAAGTTAGGAGTTTGAATATAGCAGTGAGCAATGGGAAGATCCAATACTGAAACCCAAAACGGTGATAACCTGGTTTCTCTGTTTGGAGGAGGAATAAGGGGTTTCTTCTAGCGCCTCTACGGGCAAGAAATTACAGGCCCCGCGACATATTTCTGAATTGAGGAAGAGCAGCATAGGTTGTCTTCGCAGATCGGACAGACTGCGGGATGGGATCGAACTTGACGTGGGTAAGGGCTCCTGGATAGCTTCGACGGCATTGGCTATGCAACAATTGGATACAGTCGCACCCCCTCACCCTTGACTCGCATGACCTTGCAGGACGGAATGGCGAGACCCTGCCGAAGAATCTGTGATCCGCAAGCGTACCCCGACCCGCTGGACCTCGCAGAACATCCACCATCGTGCCGGTCATCAAGGGGCTTTGCGGATATCCCGCGTTTGAAGAACCTGCACTACACGAGCTGCTACGAAGCCCTTGATGGCCCGATACTCCAGGCAAAGTTTGGGAGCGAGGTAATAAATCCTTGAGTCCCTGATGTGGAACCTTGCTTCTCCAGGATCATTCGAGGGAATCCCTTTCAAAGTCCCACAAACGCCCACCCTTGTTCGGCCTAGGGCGCGGTGGACAGGCAGGTTGTCCGGGTTTGCGTAGAGGCTGTAGCGCAGGCCTCTCAGTAGGTGGCTGGATGGCTTCGGGGGTCGAGCACTCCTCGAAGCCCAGCAGCATCACAGCCGAATCATGAGAACGCTAACTGGCTAACTCTAAATCCGACAAAGCCCGGCATTCAGAACCAGAATCAGAATGAGGGCACGACAGTTCTCAAACCCCAGGTCTGCGATTTTATAAGATAAGGCCCATAAAGTTCAAAACTCTGAACAGCGAAGTCGACAAAGACATGGCCAACACTGGTCGATGCTCGGACGGCCCTCATTCCTACATATCGCTCTAGAAGCTTTAGGCCCTAGACATCTGTATGGCTGCAGTACCGTCCACACAGACAAAGCCTCGCCTCGATTCCCGGCAAAGGGCGCCAGTAAGTGCGGCGACTCAAAAGGGCGCAGCGGCTCCGGAACCGGTGGCCCCAGAGGCACCGGGCCCTTCAAGAAGGCTTCAGTGCAAACATGCAAGACCAGTAGTACCGACTAGTGCAGATACAAAAGGTCATAGAGCTTGATTCAGCTTGATCTAATGGTACGGAAAAAGTGCAGTCCACGATTGGAGGTCTCCGCACGACTTGTCTTCGATTGATGCCGGCATCACTGTGTGCAGCGTGCCCGAGCCCAGAAAAAGGATGGAGGTGCCAGACTCGGTTCTAGAGAGAATGTGAAAGGGCCGTAGGTTCCATAGGTTCCGTTGTGGACTACATTCCGAATGGTGTCTCCAGCATCGGCTTCAGTGCTGCTCGAGCGTGGCATTGTTCAGTCGAGGCTGTATGCACGGGCCAATGACACTCCCTTGTGAGGCCGGCATGATGATAGTCAGCCCGGATTGACCAGGCCGGGATCTTTGGCAACGCATTAAACTGGGCTCTAACTGCACAACACGAGGACCCCGCAGTCTAGAATCTAGTTGCTGGATCCGATCAGCTGCTGTAGAGTTGCCTCCTGTTCCTCCGGAGGTATGTAGTCGTCCGGGCGGAGCCATGGAGCAAACTCCCAAAGAGCGATCCTTAGAAGCGCGAACTGGACATGAACTGTTGTATCCTGCATGCTGCAATACGACACACCCTGCAGGAAACGACCGAGTCTCTCAGCTGGTGAATACTTGGTTGTCGTCGTAGTGGTCTCGTTGCCCGGGTCTGGATACGTGACATTGAACGGAAAGCTACCTCGGAAGGGGCAGAGATGCTGGGAGATGCTTGGATGCTGCAGCGGGCTTGACTCGAGGCTCGTCTGGCCAAGCGGCACTTCTCTTCACAGCGGATCCACAGCTCCTGCGCAAGATGTCCAGGAACAAGTGCTCGTACACTTGAGTCACTTGGGTGGGAAGGGAGCTTTGGGGTTGAGGAAACGATGCGAAAAGCCCCTGCCTCCTCCCAGGGTTCGCCGTCGTCTGCGGTGATGACCAGCTCCTGCAAATAGCCCTCGTCCGACGTCCATGCAGCTGTGCCGTCACCTGTGAAGCTTTGAGATTCATGATGGGCCTGCTTTCCAACCTCTGGGGAACAGAGGACCCGCTTTACGGGAAATCCCTCAAACCCTGGAGTAAGCTTCGAAACCTGGAGACAAACGCAGAGGATGCCGAAGTCTCACCAAGGCACTGGAGCTGCAGTCGGCCGAACAACAAAGGCCAGAGTTCAACTCCATGCGAGTGCACAACCTGCGGAGGCTCTTCGAAACCCTGAAGGGTGCCTGTTTTGGGGGGGATAGCGGCGTCAGGATTGGGAGTTGAAGAGGGGCGAAGAGTGCCGCGCTGCTGCGCCTCATGCCCTTCAGCTCGCAGGTGCGGAGCGCGTCCCGGTGCGGCAGCGGTGGTAAGCCTCAGCTCCAGACGGGAAAGGGCCCGAGAAAGCTGCGAGCGGGGCTTCACACTAGAAAAGAAAGGTAGCGGATGGTAACGGGACGGGAAGGTATACCTCGCGAAACTTCCAATTTTCTGATCTTCTATAAGTATGTATCAGGTTGCAAGTTGGTTGAGCTGTTTGAGGCAGACAAAAGAGCTCCAACAATGACAAATCCTAAATCCTACAAGGGTCAAAACTCTACTATTCTGATCTTCTGAGTTGCATGATCCGAACATGGGATTTTCTGTCGTCGTTCCAATTTGCACCTTAGTGGCAACACAAAGTCTCTCTCTGTTTGAGACACCCAGCAGTTGCACGACCACAACAGATCTTTGTGGCTTCGTGTATAAGCCCAAGAGACCCAGGTTCCCCATCCTTCCCAATATGTTGGCAAAGACGTCGTCACCTGCACAGCTCACAGAGCAGCTAAGTCACTGACCTTGGTTCCGCAACCTGCAACGTCTGTCTCGTCCGTCTCCAGTGCTCACGACTTCCGCTCTCCCACACTTCATTGTGACCGCTAGGTCCTAGGTCTCCGCAACCCCCGGCCGAGTTTTTGCGCCTGGCCAAATCGAGGGCCCTCGCACGTGGTCCCATCCATAGCACAGCAGAAAGTCAGTCTTTCCTCGCCTCGAGACATCATTCCGAAGCGCTGTGTACTAAGTTGCATTAGCTGCGACCTATTCTTGAGCCCTGGAAGTGCGACCACAATCGAAAATAAACTACGGCTTCCTGCAACCGAGCGGCTACTCGCGACCATCTCGCCCCTGACGTGTTGCCCTTCCTTGTCACCAATAACAAGTCGCAGACTTGATCCATACGTGTGTGATGTGCAGTGAGTGCAGTGTGGACTTTGATCAAGAAGTGTTGGGATGTGTGCCGAAAGTGGCCGAAGGCTTCACTTTTGACCATTTTGATTTCCAAAGGAGCCCATGACACTATGCCTGCTGCGCACATTCCACTTTCAACAAACTCTTGGATATGATGCTTGCATGACAGAAGAACTGTTAATCACAAAAAGCCCTAAAACCCAAGCCCGCGCCCTAGCCCAAACCAGGCACTAGATCCTTGTTCTGGCATTCGCAGTCCCCTTCCAAACGGGAGACAGGTGTTTTGGCGTGAGGAGCTTGCAGCCGGCATGCAGCTTGGCAGGAGTCCTCGGTCCAGTAGTAGCCACGTTGGCTAGAGATGTTCATGCTCACCTCAGGCCGCGAGGGCGTCCCGCTATATACACTCAAGGCACAAAACTCTCGCGCAGCCGCATGAGGTGCACGTGTGTTCGACTCAATAAGTGAAATCTCTTTCCGCAGCCAAGAAGCTGTAAATTGCCTTCCAAAGTCTGCACCCTTGCCCTCTGCTTGGGGGCATGAAGCTATTTCCATGACGTTCGCATTGTACTGGATTGATTTCGTACCTGGAGGCACTAAGAGCTCAGTCGCAGGGCAGAAAACCCCAACGAGCACACATCGCGGCCTCTGAAATTGTCTGAACCGCAGCGGATGAAGGCTCTTCGTTCCACGGTGCCGCTACGGATTCTGGAAATATCTTCTGAAAAAGATGTCAGGGCTCCCACTTGCAAAAACCAGCCTGCGAAGGGACTTCCACCCACAAAGACCTCGAAGTCAATGCAGCTGACATTCTCTTGCAGGTCTGCCTTGGGAATCGGAATTCAACCCTTTGGCCGAACTTCAAAAGACGACACCGACCCTGAACTGCCTCTCTCCTCGCTCAACAAATCGTTCTGGAGGAAGAGAGACTGCAAACCTCCAATCTAGCCCGCCGTTGTAGCTTGCTGTCCTGAAACTTCTTCCTCAACTTTCAACAGATCCAGGAGAGGTCGGGATGGTTTAAGAGAAGATGGCTGCATGCCCACCAAGATGCCAGCTCACACATCAGCATCCCCGGCAGGACTTGCGTGATTTGGCAAGGCTCTGTGCCAACCATAACCTCAACTGCAGATACTGCAGGTTGGAGTGCCTAAACCCAGCACGTGAAAGAGTGAGCAAGGCATGTGTCATGCTTGTCTACGGGGTCCGGGGATGAAATGCTACATCCCTTGCGACAGCATTCCTGCAACTTGTGGATCGCATCTGCCGCTGTGCGCGCCTGCAATAATGCACATATGGGCTTGCCCTCAAGCCATGCTTTGACCCAGTGACCTGCTTCGGGAGATCAAGTTTTCTATGCTTTTCAATCATCCAAGTGGCCGTCGTTTTGCTCACGTTTGGATCGAAAGCTCTTCCTGATATGTTGATTGTCGCTCCACCAAGAATGCCGGAAAAACCTGCGAATGGAAGCTCGGTCCAAGACGTGCATGTACGGACAACCTCCCGAAACGATTTCAAATCGACAGCTGCGTTTTCCACTACCAAAGCGCAAGGCCTGGGCTGATCCCGAGGATGTCGGGATGAATTGTCAAATCCTCAAAGCTTTAACTCCAGGCTTCGGTCAACAAAACGCGCCTCACCAAAGGAAAACATTCGTTCTTTGAGGCTCGTATGGCTTGAAGTCGCCGTCGAGAAATGCCGGCGGCAGTTCTGCCTGGCCCTGCCACGCGCGGAAGACAGCGAATCCAAAGCCCCGTGGCTGGCTGCTGTGGTCTGTACCTTGGGCTTAGGATGCCTGGAGCTCTTGAGCTGAAGACGGATGGCTTAGAGTAGCTTGAAGGCTTAAGCACATGAATCTTTCCAGCCAACAAAAGCCGCGGCACAAGGGTAGTGCGCGCAGTTTGGATCATCCAAACCCATGGGCAGAGCCCGGATCCGCAGCCATGAGAGGCCAGGTCCAGCGGTGTCCGCCAAAACGCAATTCAAAGTCCGCCTCCTTCAGAGGAAGCGGCCAGCTTCAGAACATCAGCTGACTGCACAAGATGCCATACATGTTGTGCTGCCGGGAAACTCGAGGAAAAAATCATCTGAATTCAGCACTTGATGTGCCCCGGCGTCGCAAATGAAACTGCCGATCTCAATGAGGGCACCTGGGAGTGACAAGCGAACCCGTATAAATTGCGATTGGCCTCTTCGTTGAGTGCTCCCACTTGCTATGCCGAAAGGCGGTCGAGACCCGAGACCTGCAAGGCTCCAGGATCAGCTGCGCCGAAAGCAATCTGATCTCCAGCAGAGAGCGCCCTTCCGGAGATCCACGAAATGTACGGGGTCTCCTCCTGCAAAAACTCTGACTTGCACTGCAGACAAGCCGAGCACAAAACCAGCCTCTGTGTATTGAAATCTGCAACCAGCACAGCTCGGCTCACACGGTCCATCGGCATGCAACCTGTGCAGCACCAAGCTGACAGCTGCAACGGCCAAGGACATCAAACTGCGAAGCAAAGACGCCTGAGGCAGACCGGAACTGGTGGACCTTCATGTCCAGCAGGCGTCTCGCAGAGAATCTGCTCCGAGGTCGTAAAGTCCTAAGTGGACATGCATCCGGTCACAACGGGTTTCGCAATGACTGGAACAATCGCTCATGCAGGCACCAACTTCCACAGCTGCAGGGCATGCCGAAACAGATGCATCCACATTAAGCACGAGGGTGACTGTGGGAACCGACCTCAAGAATGGTGCATGGCTCGCCACCGACGGACACCTGGGTCAAGCATACTACAACGACAGCACTGCTGACACGTTCAACCAGTACCAACAAGTAAAACTGATTTCAGTCAAGAGTCCGACTGGAAGCCTTGGCTGACAGAGTGCGTTTGGGCCGGAAGACCCGGAAGACCGGCACAAACGAAGAAGCTGAACCGTGGTGCTTGAAAGATCTTGCAACCGCCTACCCCATCCTGGACGCGGTGTGAAGTCTTCTTCTCAGACCGTTCAGAACAGCAGCCGAAGGGGTTGGGACCGCTCGGGTCTCGAAATCCACTTCCCAGCACCACGATGTGCGTGCCACCAGCGATGCTGCCGTGCTGCGGTAGCACTGACGAGACCTGAAAAGCTTCATGCAGGTAAGCCCCTTGGATTGATGAGTGCTAGATATATGTGCTGCTTGCCTTCACTCTGTCCCCGAGTGCAAGCCACACCCCACAGGTAAGAATTGCAAGCTGTGGCGGCCAATGCCATGAGATCCTGGCATAAAAAACAAGACATGCTGTAGCACATAACGACATGCAGTACGTGCGAAGATTGCATGGGCGATGGACCTTTTCTGCATCCCATCCGCCGTTTCCTAATCAGCGGGCATAGCCACCCGCCAAACAAGGAGTTCTTAGCTTCTTTGGTTTCACACGCAAGTTGAAGGAAGTAGCCTGAGGTCTTGATGTCAGTGTGCTGATCATGCTGTTGCATGTGCATTGTCGACCACATGTTGTAACCTAAACAAGCACCCCAAGTTGAAAGTTGTGGACGTTGCTTCTCCAATAATGCTCCCCACATCCTGCAAATGCAGCATTGAAGAATGATGAATATGCAATCAACAACCGCACGGCTTTGAAACGATTCTGCATCGAAGAACAGAACCCGATTTACAGGTTACTTATGCTGCACCTATGCTGCTATTTCAGACACGCCAAAACCCAACCTGGCTCTATTTCAGAGAAACCCTTGAAAAATGTTTAGCAACATACGAGAAGTATGAAAAAATGAGCTGGGTAAATTGCAGCGCAACCAATAAGAACCATACGTAGAGGTTGGCAGAGGACATCATAAGTATTCAAAAAATATACAAACCTCATCGGCTCTTACATTGCGAAAATCTCACCTGGTGCGCATTTCAACAGAAGTTCTAGTGTTCCTTAATGAAGAGGTCAAAACTTGAGCAAGAGCTGCTATTTGGTCTGCACGTCTTCAGCTTCACTACCGTTACGTGTGACGCATTCATGCAAGGCGAAAACGAAAAGAGAAAGGAAAGGAAAAGGGAAAGGGTGAGAGAGAAAAGCAAAGACAAGAGAAAGACGCCGAAAGGCAAGGCGAAGGCCCAAGCTCAAGACCAAAGAACGTACAGAAGCTGCGATATGTTCAGTTTGTTGGAGTCCACAAAGTTCAAGATTTACGTGTTAGTTTCAAACTTCCCAAGAATTGTGATGAATTTGTAACAGTCAGTCCCAGAATTTTGGATTTAAAACAAACATTTGTGTTGTTTCTGGATGGACCACATTGGCGTCTCGATCTCTAAGAGTAGTCATGACAGTTTCAATTTCTGTTGTAGTCAGGCTGTCGTTTCAAATGTGGAATTTTTCATGCTTTGCAATTGCAAAATAGAACATGCAACATGACTAAGTTGCAGTCAGATAACTGCAGAAAACCTAAGAGGCAAAGATTTTCCAAACCGGCAAAGCACAAGATGGAAAGAAAAAACCAAACAAGAAGAAGAAAAAACGAAAAACATACAAAGAAAAAAATAGAAGGACAAAAAGACTTATTTGGTTGTTTTCGCATCTCCGACATGCATGAGACAACATGTTGACATGACAGCATTGAGACGCACTCTTCCTGAAAAACAATAAAAAGCAAAGAGTGAACTAAATTCAAAAATGTCACATAGGAAGAGGGTTTGGAGTCTTAACACACATTCATTGCAGAATGTCATTGTGGAATCGCCAGTCTCGTCGACACAATTGGTCTTTTCTGCCATTTACGGCTTCATCTACGGCGATTCGTGGATTCGCGAAATTTCCTTTAATTGTCAACTGGCCTACAAAGGTGTCTAAGACATTGGCAACACCATTGCGGCTTTCTGTTAGGTATTGGTACTTTCTCAGCTGGATTGATTTCTTAATCCAGACACCATTGGATGTGACCTCACCACCATGCTGTAGAATGTAAGAGCATCCACACAATCGTCCAGCGATGTCCCTTCCATCAAAAGAAATCCAAGAAATCCTGACGGCCGAAGCAGCACCTGATGCCAGCAGATGCCGCCTTCTCCGCTATTCGTCAAGGATTCCATCCACTCAAACTGCGATTGTTCTGTCTGTGCTGAGCTTGGCAGTAGACATCTTGTTTGGTCCTTACGCTGAATTAAGAGGTTTCTTAAGCAAAGAGAACTGCACCATTTTTTCTACAGCATAACATGTTCTTGCTCTTTTTTACCTGCAGTCTGAAACAGATGTGGTTGAAAACTGCAGACAGTGTGAATGGTGCAAGAAAATTGTGCAGAAAACGAGGTCAAGATTCCACATCAACCAATTCTTGTTGGAGAGAAGTTGAAACATCTTTCTGGGTGGCTAATCATCGACAAAATCGATCGCATTTGCATGTCTACATTGTGGCCTCGCAGAGCATGCGCAATTGTGCGTGATTAAATTTGCAAGATAAGCGATTTCCACTTGCACGGTGCAAATATTCTCTACTTTGGAGGCCCTTCCAGCACTTGGGCAAAAATCTAAACAATTTCCAGACCCAAAATCGGGCCTGTGGAAAGGGTTTCTGGTTTCCATGCTTCCACTTTCTCTTGTGCGCAAGTGTTCCGCGTCCAGTGCAAAGGGAGCACAGACACACGCAACCAACATACAAGAATACTGAAAGGATTGGAACA